GAGCTGTAAGCCCAAGAGAACCCCCAAGTTCCACACCACTCCTGACTAAGGAAGTGCAACCCCATCCAGGGAGTAAAGATGGAAAATTCCTAGATCTGGGCAGTCCCAACAGCCACGGCTACTCAGTCTTGGTAGGACTGAGCTGGACTCAGATTCTCCCCATCCATACCTGCACAGCCTCCAGGCACTGGGGTGAGGCTTTGACAGCCTCACATGGCCAGCCTGCGCTCAAAAGATATAACTGGGTATCACCAGCACACTGATGATATTGGACCCCAAAGGGGTGGATGACCTCACCAATTGGTTTCATGTAGAAGTTAACAAGAGAGTATAATGCAGTGTTTCTCAGCCTTGGCAACTTTAACATGTGTGGTGGGGAATTCTGGGAGTTGAAGCCCACACATCTTAAAGTTGCCAAGGTTGAGAAACACGGGTGTGAACCCAACCAAAAGACAAGTTTATGACCAGAATGCAGGATACTATCCCTTTAGGTTCCATGAAGGAGCTGGGGACTGTTCTTCAAGACCCTTTGGGGTGATGGCAGAGGTAGAATTTGAACAGGCAACCTGGCAGATCTCCTCTTTGATGCCACAAGGACCACTTAACAGACTGAATTTTTGCTCCCCAGGTGATAACCCTGTGCCGTTTGCTGCCAAAGGCTGCAGCTCTGCCTCAGCATGCTCTCTGCCCCTGGAGACCAGCATTTACTCTGCGGGAGTCACCTTTCACCTCAACAAAATTGGGTGCAAGCCAGCAACAAGAGCCAGCAGCACCTAAAGGAGGCACTGGTGGAGGGTTCAGAAGCCCTGGGGATAGAGGCCTCTGGTGTGATTCTGCTGGAGGACCCTCTCAGATGATTTGCTCCTCGGTCTCTCGCAACTTGAGAATGTGGTCCTTGTATTATCTCCTTCACTGAATTTAATGAATAAACAGCATGAAAAACAATGCATCATTTGTCACTCAGCTTAGGCTGCAGATGGCAGGCAGGAGGGGTCATGGGTTGAAAACACAGACCAGCCAAGTCCAAGAAGCTGATTCCTGAAAGCTGGAAATGCAGCCATTGTTCAAAAGAAGGTCAACAGGGCCCTTAATGCACAGGCAGGTCGAAAGCTCCTGCTGTTATCCATGGAAGGTTCAGTGGAAACCCAGAAAGGTGGTGAGCTTCAGAACTCAACATACAGAAAAAAGGATTCCTGTTTCACTGAATATAAGGGAGGAAACAAGCTGTGTGTGTGTATTTGCCTCTATTTATATAATTAAACAGAAGAGAGAGAAAAAAATAGGAAATGTTTTAAAAAGGGAAACCATAAACAGGAGCATTCATTGCTCAAGGCACAAGATACGTTGTTTTATATGTGCACATTTAATTCTTCCCCTTCCTTATAGAATTAGAGGGAATTCCCTATGCCAAATGAAGCTTCACTGAGAATGCAGGACAACGGAGTCTGAAGGTGGGTAGGGATGGACAATCCAATAGGTCAAAAGATGATCGAAGTCCACATGGATAATTTACCACTGGGAGGCTTCCTACCTCCATCTGCACCTTTAAAATCCCTTACCAACTGCCAAAAAAATCAGTTGAGAAAAATTACCCATGCACTTTCATCCAAAATATACTCAGGGCAGGGTCATCCATGTGGATGTGTATATCTCAAAGTCAAGAAGGTCCAGTAGTTGCAGTTGCATGATTGAAGCCCTACCCTTTCTTTACATGTGTCACAGACTCACCATATTTTAAAAAGGAGTGTGATCATGTGGGCATGACCACCATCTTGACTTTTTTGACCCTCCCAGCTCAAGGGCAGGCTCTCGACCCTCAGAGCAGTGCAAATGGAATGCAGGTGGTAGCAAGTCACCCATTCTGTGCCCCCATCCTAGCAGCTCCATATTGATTACATTACAAGGAAGGAAGGAAGGAAGGAAGCGTTACAAACTCTAGCCAGCCAAAACACATCGTGCCAAATGCTTTTTCAAAAAATCTACCTGAAAAGTCAACTACCATAATCCTATCCTCTTTTTTGCAACTTTTAAAGACAGTACTCAAATGAATGTTGGCCAGCCAAGACCATGAAGGAGACCAAGGTTTCCAGTTACACACACCTACATCATTGTATGTCTTTTATTCAATTAACAACTGTGGACCAGGGAAATGGTTTTGGTCAGCCCTTGGGTAAACAGCCTGTGTTAGATTTCCTCACAAACTGGCCAAGTCTAAAGTCCAAGCAGAAAAAAAGGGACAGACAGAATTACAGGGACAAATATTTACATGTTCTGCATTTCGAAGGGAACACAGATTTGTTTTCCTCCATTCTCTAGGCAGGATATGAGTGTCCCCAAAAATCTACAACTATATGCCTCTTGGAAAGAAAAAAAAATAAATGACAGGTCTAGGGTTACAAGATGGGAACAGAATGCCATCATGCAGGACAGGGCACCCTCTTAGGTCCCTTGGCGTCTTGCTATAAAAATGTTGGGCAATGTTTTTTGCAACCAGGAGTCCTTTGTGTTTTGTTTTAACTTTTTGCCCTCCAGAGCTGAATGAACATGGCCAGTGCTGTAATCATGTGGCTGAAGTGAGGGGCATTGATCTATTTGGCCCTTTGGGGTGCAGTGGAGGATTTTAGAAGGCCACATTCACATTGATGCTGTTGCCACTGAGTTTCAGCAGCACAATCTGGAGTTGCAGGGAGGGTTACAAAAATGAGTCAGTGCCTCTTTGAGAGTTGCTTATCCCAGCTGTGAAACGGGGCCAAAATTCCTTCTTATCTATTCCTCCCCCAGTGAAATGGATGCCTCCAGCTCTTTGATTCACTCCACCTGCATCTTGCTCAATGCATGAAACCCCACAGCTGAAGGACATAAACAGCTCCACCCAAGTCATTCCTTGCAATGACGTAACTACCCAAGTCCCTCCTTTACCTGGCTGAATCATGATGCTGCTGTGGGGCAGGGTTCACATAGTGACCTCATGGTACATGCTCAGATCCACATCTTATTTCTTGCCTGACAGCAAAAACAGGCCAGCAAGTCCAACTGACGTGTTTAGGGCCAATTACCGGTTGAGAGACTTCTGTTGGGATAGTTAGTCATGCAGAGAAGAAGTCATGAGACCAAGTTCATTAGAGAACAGAAAGAACTTTACTTCTTTATCAGTACGGACTTAACAAAAGGAATCATAAGTACTCCAAAAAAGTAAAATAAGGAAATAACGCACAATATAGCAATTAGCAAACTTTGATACTGTACTTAAAGTGGCAGGGGGGGAGAAGAGGTTGAGGAAGAGGTCCGTTTCTCTCTGGGGTGGCCTTTTCCTGTCTGGTGTTGCATTTTACTGGTGAATTCATGGCATATAGGGGTCTAAGGGAGTTTACTGTAAGAACAGTCCTGCTATGTCTGCATGCAGAAGTATCAGAAAAAATATCTTCAGGGCATTTGCCACAAGATGGGGGATCGGGCCAAAGCTTGCCTCCAGCCTTCCCTTTCCTGGAAAGCCAGTGTGCAACCAAAATGGCCGATGAATTGGCTACTCAACATGCTGATCCACCTATCTCATCAGGTGTCCAACTGCCTTACCCAGTCTGGGTGTCTTTGTGGACCAACTCCCATAATTTCCCAGCAAGCAAGGCCATTGCTGAATCTTCTGGGAGTTGGAGTTACTTGTCTGGATCAGACTCTCTTTGCTTAGCTTCAACGATCCCTCAAAGTATCTTGGCTCAAACTCAGGTAGGATCTGATATGTGTTTATCTATTTATTTGATTTAAATCCTGCCTTTCATTCAGAGCAAAAGGCATCTTCCTATTTTTCCCCACAATTCCCTGTGGGGTAAACAGAACTTTGTGGTGTCTCTTCCGAATCTCCTGCTAATGTATTTCATGAAATGGTCCGCAGAAACAGAAGCTTCAAGACTAATGAGAGAAATAATTTTGGAATGGCAAAGGTACCAGTGAACCAGGAGAATGTTGCTGATCAATACTTGGAAAGCTAATGTGTTCATCAATGTCTGTACCTTTTGTGTCTTTTATATCTGCCTTTTAAGAGATAGTTTCTAGTCCAGCACATTAACCCAAGAACAAACCGGTAAAGCAGAAGTACACTTCAAAATGAATCATTCATTTGCCTGCTACGTTATCAAATTGTATTTGGATCCCGTATCCGCTCTACCCATTTAAATATAAAGAGGCACCAGCCCCACAGAGAAGTTGCTTTGTCTATAGCAGTGTTTTTCAACCTCAGCAACTTTAAGATGTGTGGACTTCAACTACACATCAG